AAACGCAGAATATGTTATGATATGATATCATACCACTACTTCTTTATTGAAATAAAACCATTGTTCCAAATAGCTCTAAAATTGAGCAGTACCAGCAGTATATATATCCGTTATTACAATAAAGGAATCATAAACACCTTAATATGTACCAGAGTACTAATAGATGCATGTAAACAAAACATTAGCGAAGTATATCATTTCATTAATATATATAAAAAAAAATACAATTAAACAACTATTTCTTCAACTCCCCATCTTCATCTATTGTCGATTAAACAACTAGTTCCAAAACGTCATGTTTTACCCTTATAATAGCTAGCTCCCTGATATCATGTATTATCATTATAACAGATAACTACCCATCATCATCTATTGTCCATATAACAACTAGCTCCAAAACATTATGTTTTAGCCTGATAATAGCTAGCTCCCTGATATCATGTATTATCATTATAACAGATAACTCCCTATCATCATCTTTTGTCCATATAACAGCTAGCTCCAAAACATTATGTTTTACCCTTATAATAGCTAGCTCCCTGATATCATGTATTGTCATTATAACAGATAACTCCCCATCATCATCTATTGTCCATATAACAACTAGCTCCAAAACATTATGTTTTAGCCTTATAACAGCTAGCTCCCCGATATCATGAATTATCTTTATAACAAATAACTCCCTATCATCATCTTTTGTCCATATAACAGCTAGCTCCAAAACATTATGTTTTACCCTTATAATAGCTAGCTCCCTGATACCATGTATTATCATTATAACAGATAAATCCCAATCATCATCTATTGTCCATATAATAGCTAGCTCCAAAAAAATATGTTTTAGCCTTATAACAGCTAGCTCCCCGATATCATGTATTATCATTATAACAAATAACTCCCTATCATCATCTTTTGTCCATATAACAGCTAGCTCCAAAACATTATGTTTTAGCCTTATAATAGCTAGCTCCCTGATATCATGTATTATCATTATAACAGATAACTACCCATCATCATCTATTGTCCATATAACAGCTAGCTCCAAAACATTAGGTTTTAGACTTATAACAGCTAGCTCCCCGATATCATGTATTAACATTATAACAGATAACTACCCATCATTATCTATTGTCCATATAACAGCTAGCTCCAAAACATCATGTTTTACCCTTATAATCGCTAGCTCCCTGATATCATGTATTATTATTATAACAGATAACTACTCATCATTATCTATTGTCCATATAACAGCTAGCTCCAAAACATTAAGTTTTAGACTTATAACAGATAGCGCCCCGATATCATGTATTATCATTATAGGAGATAACTCCCTATCATCTATTGTCCATATAACAGCTAGCTCAAAAACATTATGTTTTAGCATTATAACAGCTAGCTCCCCGCTATCATGTATTATCATTATAGGAGATTACTCCCTATCATCTATTGTCCATATAACAGCTAGCTCAAAAACATTATGTTTTAGCTTTATAATAGCTAGCTCCTTGATATCATGTATTATCATTATAGGAGATAACTCCCTATCATCTATTGTCCATATAACAGCTAACTCCCAAACATTATGTTTTAGCTTTATAATAGCTAGCTCCCCGATATCATGTATTATCATTATAACAGATAACTACCCATCATCATCTATTGTCCATATAACAGCTACCTCCAAAACATTAAGTTTTAGACTTATAACAGCTAGCGCCCCGATATCATGTATTATCATTATAACAGATACCTTCCCATCATCATTTGTTATCCAGCTCCAAAACATCATGTTTTACCCTTATAACAGCTAGCTCCTAAATATCACGTGCTATCCTCATAACAGCAAGCTTCCACATATAACGTGTGGCATTATAACATCCAACTCCCTCAAATTACGTTAGGCCTTTAAGCAGCTAGCTATCTGATTTAACGCGTATACTTATGACAGCAAACTCCTTTACTTAACACGTGTCCTTAAAACAGCTAGTTGCATGCATGTATTCAAAAGTGTGATAACAACTAATCCTCTAATATAAAACGTTTTCACCTAAACGCTCCCTCATATAGAGCGTACTTGTAGCAACTGGTTTCATGATATACTGTATGTGATAATAGCAACTAGTTTCATGATAAAATATATGTCATTGTAGCAATTAGCTTCATAATGTAACATGTATCCATATACAACTAACTTTGTCATAATACAGTAGCAACTAGCTTCATAATATAGCGTATGTCATTTTAGCAACTAGTTTCATGATAAAATATATGTCACTGTAGCAATTAGCTTCATAATGTAACATGTATCCATATATCAACTAACTTTGTCATAATACAGTAGCAACTAGCTTCATAATATAGCGTATGTCATTTTAGCAACTAGTTTCATGATATAATATATGTCATTGTAGCAATTAGCTTCATCATGTAACATGTATCCATATATCAACTAACTTTGTCACAATACAGTAGCAATTAGCTTCATAATATAGCGTATGTCATTTTAGCAACTAGTTTCATTACATAACGTATGTCATATATTAACTAGCTACATTACATAACGTATGTCATTATATTAACTAGCTTCATAATATAGCGTATGTCATTATAGCAACTAGCTTCATGATATAACACGTATCCGTTTATCAACTAGCTTCATAACATAACATATGCCTCATAGCGACCAACAGAAACTTGTTTCGTTATTACGCGTGACCTTTTAGTGACTAATTTTATAACTTAGCATATGTCATTATAGCAGGCAGCCCCCTCACACAATATGTCATACTAATAAAAGAGTAGACTATTTATAACTAGCACTGATATAATTTACATGCGCGTACATGAATATGGCAGATATTCATTATTCGCATTTCAAGCGGTTCTGTACAATTGTACCAATGAAGTAAAACTTTCAACACAAATTTACAATCAACATGAAAACAAACAACCAATGAAATACAAGGTAGCAGTGTACAGTAGAAATGACCCGACTCTGATAAACAAGGCACAGGTCGAGAAAATGTAAACACAGCGGATTTACCCTACACATCACATGTATACATGTATATATATTTGTAAACTGCATTACATTTACAATACATATAAAGTACTGAGGAGTATATAAACCTCTTTTTTTCTATGTATGTCACTTGTGTGAAAACCATGGTTACCACATCAAAAATTACCCAAAAATGGCGAAAATTGCTTTTTTTGACCCAAAATTTGACCCCCGCAACTAGTAATTCTTTTCCTAAGTTCTGTCTGAAATTAAAGATTACCTACCTGGTTGCAGAATTATCTGGGTCCCAGTAAAGTTGTTAAACTTCGTTTTTTGCAATTTTGCGTCGTGTGCTGTTGTCAAAATGTTACCTCCTGTAAAGCTAGCTTTTCATGTGTAGGCACCCTTTCGGATTATGGCCAACATTTTATTCTCGAACAATTTTTTTTTTTTACAAATGTTAAGCTCACATAGCCCACTTCATCATACCAATTTTACCAATTTTATTTCAGTTTTATTTTTATATTTTTTTTACATATCATTATACAGGGGTTAGCCATTTAACAAAAATATCACCCATGGCCACAACCCTCTACTGTACACTGCTACCCAAAGTATAAATAATATAAAAAAAAAAACCATTTTGCAAATAGTTTTGGCTTTTAATAATCAAACATGTTTACCTGTCAAGCGTACAGTTCTATATAAATATGTACCATAAATCGGCTACCAAACAGCTTGTTTAAGCTATTTATGTCTTTAATAGGTTTCGATATGGAAGACATTGCGTAGCCAAACGCAAATCGCCATACTATTGTAAAAGGGCATATATTTTGCATTGTTATTAATTATTACTAATATATGTATTGTAGGTATTAGGTTTTGTTATACATGTTTTGTATTTGCATATGTTGTCTGGTATGAAAGATGGTGTAAGGACCTTTAATGAATCTGCCTGTGTATGTGACATGTACTTACCTGTGTGTGCATGTGAGTGAGTGAGTAAGTTGTTATGACACCTGACTAAGGACGGGCCATACGATTGGTCAGGACGGACGCCTCAGCTTATCTGTGTAAAGGCTTTAGCCAACTTGGGCACTCTGCTCCTGACCAGCTGAGATAAAACATACATTTTGTAGGTTGAATTTGGGGGAAACTTATCAAAAGTCTTTAGCTGGTAAGTTTTTACTCTATTTGTTTAATAGCTTTTTGTTCATCTAGTATAACAGAAAATGTAGGGAATATACCATTTTTTGTAATTCAATTGTGGCTATGTAATTTCATCTTTTTCTATCTAAAAGTAATTGACATTTTGTCATTGTACAATTTCAAGGTCAAAGTGAACTTGAGTATGTAAAGATATAAGTCTTTGTTAATTTAACTTTCTATGAATTGGTATCAAATTCATAACGGTCAAATTATTTATTAGGGATATTTATATGATTTTAGTGTAAAGCTCTTGGTTTGACTTGAACTGATTTTATTAATAGAGAGGAATTGAGGGAAACCTCCCCACCATAGCTGTGGGGTGAGTGTTCAATGGGTCTAGAATGTTTTAATGTGTATATTACTATATTTTTATCTATAGAATGTATCTGGAATTTTAAAAGTGTGTATGAGTAATTTGCAATAGTAAAAGTATAGGTTTTATAGTAATGATATTTATGTAATTGTTTAAAGAACGAATGTATAACCTTTTGGAAAAGATAACTGAATACATACATTCAAGTTGCAGATTTTGGAATTAGTAGATTAATAAGTATCATTGTATATGTAAATTTGATAGGGTAAAATAGATATATATGTTATACAATAGCATTTGTCAATGGAGTTATTTCCCACTATTGGCATCGTTTCTGAATCAGGCCATTCAACTGCTTGTCTCTGAAAAAGTTCAGATATGTACGAAAGATATATATATATATAATAAATGTTGATAATGAATTTAAGTTATTTTTGAAATATCCAAGCGTATTGTGCTCCGTCTTATAACCGATCTGAATGGATAAAGTTGACACCTACGGCATGGTCAACCACAATGAAATCGTCAAACTGGATCGTTCGGTGTCAAACAGTTCCATCCTTCTTATAACCCCCCTCCAATCAAGAAAAAAACAATTAACAAACTAAAATAAAACGTGGAAAACATCGTTGTTCTAATCTAATAGATGGCGTAACCAATAATAAGCGCCATCACGAATGATAATGTCGTGATAAGAACAACGAACAGGAAAATCCTCAAAAAGCTTTTATCCAAAAGTCGTCCGACTTCCAACCACGTGCAGTCAACAATGGAGCCACCGTCCTTTAACACCTGTGTGTTATTTATATTCTTCGATCCCTTCGTTTGATCGCCGGACAGTTCTTTTGACACATCAACGCTCCCAATGTTATTTGTGTTACAGCAACAGCAATGCGAATGTCCCTTTCTGTTTTGAAAGCTTATTATCGTTAGTACATTGACAGTCTTCAGCAGCCATTTTGGTACTTCCGTTTCCGGATCTGAATGATGGCATTCCAGAACCAATATTGTCAGTAGGACTGATATCATTCCAAGTGCCAGGATGAATACGAGGTAAACGGCTGGAACATGATTTAAAATATCGAATTACTTTATCATAATGGTAACTATAATCGCTTCAAACAATCAATGGACAAACAAAGTATGTGTAGGTGTAAAAAAAATCCATGAATAACTGAAGCAGTTCAATACCATTATCTTCTATTTCTGAAGCATTTTTATGTTAGAGTAAATACATTTCAGCATTCGGTTTAAATTAGTGTAAAAATCGCGTATGTTTGTTTAATAAATAAAAAGTTATGACGGCAAAATAATGATGAGTCATGATGGTAATAATTTGGAAATGACATTCAAAGCTGATATGAATGTCACGTGAAATTGATAGGGTTATAGCATGGCAATGCCATGCAACGGTAAATACAATACTTACACAGCAGTGACGTGTTGACAGATGTCGTTGGGATGTTGTCAGCCACAAGTGTCAGGTATACGGCGTAAGACAACAGAACCGTCAGTGAATACCCTATCCTCTCTCCAGATTCGGCGGGAAGTTTGAACGCCATACAACTCAGAAATGCCAGCAGTATTGTAGGTGTTAACGTATTGAGTATATGGTACATTGGTCTTCGTTTCAAATTCAAATGAAAGCTCACAGACGAGAAAGAGTTTCCTCCCCTGCCTCTATCTGTGGAGCTCGTTGTGTACGATATATACTCCCATTCTCCATTTTCTTTGAAGTAAGTGAAATCCAATGGCGAGGAATCTAAATTAAGAGTTATCTCAGACGCAGTGTAGCCCCATGTACTTACGCTGATATCACATATTTGGGTATCGAACGGGTAGAATGTTACGTCAGTCTCACAGAGTGTTTTGTATATACCAGACGGTGTCCACGACAGGGTGCCGTCACTGACCACCCGTATCGGAATGGAAGCGTCGCTCATCACCGATATATCGCTGACCCTGAAATAAAGTAAATCCAAACTGATCAGTAACTGTATATAGAGGAGATCAATAAAGATTTATCATCGTTAGAAAACATATTTGTATTCAAAAATGTACATTAATTTTCACATGTCAATTGCACAGCCTTTGATAAGCGTACCGAATCAAAATATGGATATATAACAATTACAACATGAATGTTTTCCTATCAGAAACACATCGGTAGTTTAACGTCCTTATGTTCGAGTAATCGGGAACAGACATGTGATAAATATCAAATGCTTCGTCGCGTGACGAAAATAGTAAGAATAAATTAAAATACGCAAGATTAATAGGCTATTAAACTTTTGGGAGAACAGTTTGTTTGTGAAGTGAATAAACTATACACCCGATTTATGAACCATGTACGATAATATAGAATTGGTTTCTGTTTTATTTGAACGGAAATATTAAGATCCAAATTCATGTTTGAACACATATGACGGTATGTAAAACAGTTACAACATTATTGCATATACACAATGTACTTATAAATAGATCTTGAATAGATGTTCGAATGCTATCGCATACCATATTAAGCGTTTCAAAAGAAATATTTAAACAAATGTTGGACATATTTTTACATATTGTACGATCAAATAACAAAATAATACGGACACGAATTCAGGAAAAAAGAAATTCAGTTACTCAAAGCTAAAAAACGACCTTTAAATACTGTGAAATATATCAATTATTTATCAAAACAACATCCAACAACTTTCTACAATGATTTGATCAGTGAAATAGTATAAACAATGCTTCTGGACAAACGTTTATAGTAGAAAAAAGTACTATTTGAGAGGCAGATAAACATCTTCACGCTCTACATGTTTCTGCGGGAATCGATGCTTAGCCCATATTGATGTTATACATTCATTCAAAAAGTTAATGAATTGTACGAAGAATGAATAAAACATCAGCGATACCAGCGAAGTGTTTCAATACGAAGGATTTCATATATACCTATCACACCTTTTTACAAAATATATTATCATTTTCATTAATACATCATGGACTAGATGAGACTGTATTTTATAAATATATGGATCTTCGCATTAATTATACGCTTGAATCTGATAAACCTTTATAGAAGAGAATGTAACATTTTAAGAGAAAACAATCTACTATTTTAGGAAAATAATAGTAAAAAGAAATGTTTCCAATCAGACAAACTATGTAGATAATAGCAGCAAAATATGAAATCAAAAATGATTTTTTATTTATCCATACATAATTTACAGCCCTGTCTGGTTTAATCCTATTACGAGATCTCTAACAGCAGTATTTCTCGACATGGTATATGACCGCTATATGTACATAACCTATACCTTTACATTAGCCTACAACACGTCGTGTAAACATTTCATTTCAAAATTATTTTATTGATGCAATTAACAATTGGATTGGGCACAGGCATTGCCTATCAAAACCCTTTCCACATAGAAATTCATACATTTCAAACATATAAAGTATGTAAATTGAAGACGTAATATATTAAGTTTATGTAGATAGGGTAGGCAGAACCAATTAGCCAGTTACCAATTAAAATATACACATGTACGTAGAGATATTCAGTCTAGTTGGAATATCAATCCGGTGTGCAAACATGGATATTATTCGACTAGATTGTTTACACTGACTTCCGTATTAATATCGGTGACATGAACGCTCACACTATCCTACATTGTTTCCATTCAAAACACACGAAATCCCTAGAGTAACTATTTGTAAAGGGAGATAGTTCTTGTTGATATTATTATTGATTACGCGTGATTTCTCTAACATGATCAAACTAACTCAAAGAGTCTGATTGTGGTTTAATGCCGCATAACATATTATGCCCATAATTTGTTATAGAGTCAATAGCTTTCTTCCTCTTATTTCGGATGTGATTGATAAATGAATTTTGTGAACCCTGAAAGAAACAGATTTCTTGAACACCTGCTTCTCTGTCGAACACATCAACTTGTACATCTTCTTAATTTCTCACCAACAAAAACAACAGGCAGAAGGATACTACAACTTCTGTGTATGACTATTATTGACGTTTGAATAGGTATTGTTTGGCAGAATAATACCTGAAAGTATATATGTTATATAACGGGAAGCCATGAAATGTCCTCGATATCTGTATAATCCAACAGCTGAGTAATTATATTTCGTGATTCTGTTGGATCCAACATAACAAGTACAATGAAAAATATTGCCGCTTTCATTTTTAAAGCGAATGGGAACAATAATTTATTTAATCAGGAGTGACGTCCGCCCTGATGTCTTGAAACCTGCATTTAAGTATGGAAAGTCACTGTTTTACTTTAATATATATTTAGGTAAATTTAATGCATTGCACCACTACATATATCTTTTTTATATTGCACAAAGACATTTGTGTCTATTGCTTAATAAAGAATACATACAGTGTATATACAGACGACCTTATCAATTTTCTTTAATCTTAATATTAAGACCTACATATTCCATAATCTTGTATATCCCCCTCTACACTCTCTACCACGTGTCAGATTTAAACAGTAAGGGGCAAATATTTTTTAGATAATTAAGCCGTCATATGTATTAGACTTTTGGTCAAAGTGAACTACAACGTCGATAACAAAATCTATAGTTTCGTCTCGACTCGCCTATCTGCCGAACACAGTGATACAGACGTGGTTATTAAGACCAGACAATGGAAGGATCTATGTGTGTCAAGTACGACGAGTTCTCAGTTTTGCCAGTAGTACACTCATATTTAATTGGAAAACTTAACCTGTCGCCAATTTTAAATTAATCAACTAAATAATAAATGATCATCCGTTTATTTAAAACTATCGATTCAATCTTTGCGCAAATAATACATATTTTCTTATTTACATGCATTCGCAATTAACCTACGGAAAATACACAACAAACTTGTGTGCAGCAGGAAAAGATCAATTAAATAGGGATTATTTGTCAGTCATTTAGATGTAATTACAAATTGTTTTGTAATGCTTAATCGATATTCGTTGCACGTTAATTTACGTAAACAGATTAAGTCATTGCATCATATTACGACAATATTTACATATTCTCGGGGTAGTATGCTTTTGTTCACACCTATTTCTAATTATGTTTTTTTTGACTGGCAAGTGAAAACAAGTATTTAACCCTATAATTAAAATTAGCTAACGTACATTATATAGCAAATTGGTTATACCCGTCGGACGACAGATTCAGTTTTCCAATTGAGGCCGAGAGTACAACTCCACAACATTAAGGTGTTGTCGTACTATTGCCACATATAGCACATGCCATTCTTTATAACAAAGACTGTATCACTGTGTACGTCCTTGATATCCAGGGATCTGGAATATGTCATAGCTAATTTGAAAGCACGAAGAAAGCTGTTTGATTGGTTTCGGGTAAAAATAACTGACCAATCGCTAGGCTGATACCTGTCCTTGAAGATTACAAAGGAGCGACGCCCGAATCCAAAGCCTGTCAATTTTTACCGTGACGTGACCGCAAGATTCTTTTGATGTACATCAAAGGATCGAACTAGTCTACTTGTCTCATCAACAAGGTGGCACAGACTGAGCCTTCAATTTTGCTATGACATATTACAGGGGTGCAGAGAGCGAAAGTGGGCGTTACCCCTGGATATCGAGGACGTATACAGTGATACAGGCTTGGTTATAAAGAATGGCATGCATACATAATTTATTCCTGTTCGACAATTTAAAATGAAAAAGGGGTTAAATCGTTATTTCAACTGTCTGTTCAATAACATGTCATTAAAAATAGATGTGAACAGGAACATACTACCGCGTCAATATGTAATTAATTGTTGTAATGTGATGCAGTGCATGAAATTGTTTATTTTAATTAACGTGCACAGAATATCGATTAAACATTGAAAAACTTTTAATAATTACGTATCTGAATGAGTGATAAACATCTATTTTTATTTCCTCTTGTCCTGCTTCACACACGTTGTTTTGTGTATTTTCCGTAGGTTAATTGCGAATGCATGTAAACAAGAAAATTTGTATTATTTGCTGAATGATTGCATAAACAGTTGAATACAAACGAATGATCATTTATCATTCAGTTGATTGATTTAATATCAGACTTAAGTCAATACTATGTAGGCTGTCAATACAGTTCTGAACGTTATTCAGATTAAAACACTTTTTGTTGTAAAAATATTTGCATGCAACTGCCAACTCTTCCATTGTGGTAATTCGTTTAAAAATGTTATCTCACAGAACTGGTATTGGCAAATTGTCGGCCAATTCCGGTGAACATCAACATATATATCGTGATGGGGTGCTCCTGTTACAGGAGGGAATTTCGACAAGAACAAGAACGAGATGCATATCGGACCTTGCAGAGTGGTTTTTGAATTTTGCTGTGATAGAAATATTATTTCTTTTGGACAAGATTGACTCTTACGAATTCTCTAAAATGAGAGGTGGCCTCCATATTGTTTCCTCATCCGAATATATAGCACCAATGTCAGAACTGTATGTCGGGTTAGAATTCCAATCCAGCCGCTTGTCACTCCAAGCCTACAAGAACACACAATATTTTTTTAAGGTTTGACACGGAAACTGGCTAGTCATAACGACGTCCCTTAATGTCGTAGCTACGTCCTCGATTCGCAAAATAAGAAGGGATTTATCCGTTGTATATACCAGTTTATTTATTGTAATTTTGACTCGTCTGAACTGACATATTTTGCATACATAAACTAGGTGAGGTTCGACACTTTGTCCGAAGGTACGGGTCCTGTTATTGTATTATCCTTCGAAATAATCCTAATATTAAAGGTTTACCCTTTTTTATAACATCAGTAATGACTATTTAGGATTTCATGCCACATCTTTAGATAAATATTCGTTTGTGGGTATTTAAGCGCCAAGTTACTGACCGCGAAGAATGCGAAAATGTATACACCGACAAATTATCTTTTGTAGTATGCTATTAGCAAAACAAGCCTTATGTATTATTTTAGATAGATTGTGTAACATCTTTTTAATCAAACCACATAGATTGTTTGCAATATGTCAAAAAAATAATCCTATGACCAGCACCCAGTTATTATATATATCAAAGCAGACATATTTCAAAACTGTTAAATGCATATATTACATATCATAACGTTCATGCTAGTGTCCTGTTCCTCAATAAATCCCTATGTTTGAACCTTATAGCAATATACAGTAAAACATGTTTTCGTATATAATATTGATACCCCAGAATATATCACTACACTTCGTCACCTGTTTAACTATGTTACTTACCAGACTGAAGTAACCTGTGGTGGTCAACGCCTGATTTCGGACATCCTGATAAAGGAAAGAAATTAAACATATGGCTTAATGAAATAATATGTTATAATGTTTGGAATTATTTCAAAACTTAAATCATCAAAATAGGTACGCTTACAACACAACACGGTTATGACTCTTAACTTGATGTCATAATTTCATTCTTTTCGCCCATAAAAAGCAAGTGAACGAAGCTTAGTTCTTTTTTTAAACAAGAATGAATAAACTTTCATTCTCGTTATTTTGTTCTTCCGCTACGAGAACACGAAACAACGAAATTGCATAAATCACCTACCGTAAGTATTTTCCTTTAGTTAGCGCCTCCAACGCTTACCAGGTAGTTGGATATAATTACACTGAGGTAAAGGTTGATTTCGAAATATCGATATAGAGCGCGATATAGACATTTCATTTCCTCATCATAATACCACCCTACTTACGAGGGAGTTAAATGTGATGACGTTGAGCGCGATATAGACATTTCATTACCTCATCATTATACCACCCTACTTACGAGGGAGTTGAATGTGATGACGTTGAGAGTGACGTTGACAACCACTGTGGCGTCTGGCCTGGCTTGTATCTGGTACGAGTTTGTCGTGAAGATTAGCGTCCGTAGGTTGTTTTCCGCTGAGTATGTGTACGCTGACTCGGCAACATGTAAACCTATAATGAATGTATTGTTTATAATAAAAATTTGAGATTGCTTCCTATGAACATTTAAACACTGATATAGGCAGAAATATTATTGCGGACTTGGGTAATGTTCAGACATGATTATTCGCAACACATCAATACATTTGTTTTTTTGTTATCCGACCCTAAATTGGGGAAATATCAGAATATTCCATAGCGCACAGTGTTACATTTTTTACTAGTTCTATCACCATTATGGACCAAGGTTACCTGACATTTCGTCAAGGTTCTCATTTATATTAGCTTTTCTGACCGTTTATAATAAGCAATTAACATAGGATATATTGTATGATTTTCAAAAACGGATTTGTAACTCAGTATAACACCCCTGTGATACTTCATGACAAAATCGAAGGCTCAGGTAGTGTGGACCATCTTTTGGAGGAGACGAGAAGACTAGTTTGATCCTTTGATCTACGTAAAGGGCAGAGGGCGAACGTGAGCGTAACCCCTGAAATATCGAAGATGTAACACGTATAGGAAACTGCCCATTCAACAATCCCCGTACCACTGTGCATTGAACACTGGGGTTTTTCCGGCACAACTGCATCTTTGATAAACTATTATTGAAAGAAATCCATACATTGCGGACTTGTTGAAAAGATTATGAAGGTGAAATGATTAAAATATAATCAACAATTGTGTTCTGAGTGTTAAAGACAGCAAAGGCCACACCAGGATTAGAACCCTAGACTTCAGAATGTTATACTTTTGCACTAGCCGACTGAGCTACCTGGTCAACGGGAGTTTTTCTGACCAAACTGTGCCAGAGTTATATCAAAAAGGAAATTTAGAGGAGGGTATTGTATATACGAAAAACCACAGTGTAGTAGGACAGGGATACTTAAGAACGAAATTGTCAGTAAGAAATAATCGGTTGGTAACAAATGTTATGGACATGATATTGTGCATATACAACACGACATATAGTCAACTACTGTAAGCGCGAATGCATTTTCTGCACTTATTTCTTTTCAGAAACCTAATGCTCCCCAAGATAGATGTACAGTCAACGACCACAGTGTATTAGATTTTTGTTGTTGTTGTTAAGTTTAAACAGTATGCCCATAATATACAGTGTATATTTACTTATAGAGATAATGAAAACCCAAAGACTGTCAATTTAACATATAGAGTCTGAAAAATATTCACTTCAAATTACCTGATATTTGTTTAATTGATTATGTTAAATAACAGTTTATTCATCGGATTAAAATGTTTGCTCATTAGGATTAAAACGTCAGCAAACACATCTCTGTTTTAATAGTGGGTGTTTTTATCTTAGCTATTCCGTCGCAGTTTCATCAACATCGATTTGAAGTGATGAATAGGATCGCCTTCTGTCCATCCGAGTTCCGTTTTGAGTAATCAATGTCTCCCTATAACACTTGTGCTGTTCGTGTGTACTTTGAATTAGTTGTTTAATGTGTTGTTGCATAAGGTTTATTAATAATTTGTACTTGCATCGGTTAATTGTTTTTATTCAACAAACGTCATTGAAGGGGTCGTAGTCCGAATTATTCTGACGTTTTATCAGCTTTTTTCATATCGGTCTCTCGTCGATTAATCGACGACAGACCGCTATGAAAAAAGCTGATAAATTAATCGACGACAGATCGATATGAAAAAAGCTGATAAAACGTCAGAATAATTCGGACTAAAGGGGTCGTAACATAACATGTCCTCAATGTATGGGGGGGGGGTCTTTCTTTCAACATACAACATTCATTCAATAGTTGCAGACAATAGAAACAGATTCATACTTAAGGATACATTCATACATACTGTATATATTATTGATATACATCACACATAAAATAATATCACATACATACACAAACAATGTATTTCCATATATTGTCTTCTGTCAATATCATCACCATCGTCATAATTAATTTATTGATTAATTGATTAACCTTTTTATTAATGTACTGTTTTTTATCCGGATTTCCGCCAGTTTTCTGGTTTGTGTATTACTGTTTTATTTCCGCTGTACGAAATGGGATGGCAATTAGATACTAGTCCTACCGACTTATAAGTTGAGTTACCCATGTCTTCTTGCGTCAGTTGAGCCAATCAGGTTAACTTAATCATTTCGTCGGCTGAGTTATACATGAAAGATATCCATCTATTGAGTCAATAATTATATATAGAAAGTTTTACCTTTTTTATGTTCAGTTATAACATCAGATAACCCTTAATATCCAATTTACAAGATCCAATAATATATAAAGGCAACCCTCACAGCACAGATAGTTGGACAACGAAGTGGAGATGGGGTCCTGCTGATTTTCAGTAATTTTCATGCTTTCCTTGTTATACATTTTAACGACTAAACAACAAACTTACAGTATGTATTACTAAAACATGTTATAGTGTAAAGTGATTTTTTATTTTTCGTTTATTTATACTAGTTTAACTGTAAAGTTATTCATTTATGTATGTATCACTTATACAACATATACTGTAAACTTTTTTTATTCGTTCGTTTATTTGTCACTTGTACAAATTAAACTTCAAAGTTATTGTTTATTTTTCGGGATATGGTTTTTTTTCTGTTTTCGCTGTAGCATTTCTTTCCCGCGAAAAAAACCCCAGCGAGATTAACAACATATTAATCCAATTTAACAATAGAACAGTGTGCCATGTTCACTAAGCTGAAGTCCGCTGAAAATAGGTCATATGAAATGGACAAATTCATTAAATCAGCGAAAATTAGGGAAGACTAAATTAAATTAAATTAAAGACTTTTATGAAGCAATGTCATTGTGTTTTGACAAACTTCGTAACTCTTGCTTCATATTATTAAACCAGTAATCCGATTTAAAAATAAAGTTTTCTGTCTATGTAAATCGGATTTAATACAATTCAATGTAAGTCGTACTACAGCAAGCCAAGTTCGATCGTTTAGAAAAATATTTAAATAATATAGGCAATATTTCTATCAGAATGGTAACTGGTATTGCTGTTACTTATGTATGCCCCAAGCCATATCATTGGTTTGATACTTTGATATATAAATCATGTTTTATAAATCATCGTTGAGTTGTTAAAAGTTATGTAAATAATAAAATTAAAATGTACATTTCTCGAACATATCAGCTGACAAAAGGCTGGCCGCCTCTTTGTGTAATACAACTGAGCTCAATAACGTATATTGGATGTGCTAGTATAGATACTTACCTCGTCAATGAATAAATAAATCCTACCCCGGCTTCTTAGTGTAACGTTACAGTGTATTTAAGGGTGTTCAGTAAGTTTTCTCTCTCTTTATTAAAGAGATACTTGAAAAGCCGTTGGTGACTCTTATGAATAGCATATATCAGTCTTTTGTTGATATGCGTCACGATGTTTTAGGTCAATACAGGTATCACGTTGCGTGCTTTAAGTATTTGACTATGAGGTTTAACAGGACAGCATGTATCGTACCTGAATGTCCATGTATTTTGACACCAAATGTCTGATTAGAGTCAATGAGTACATCAGTTAGGCAATTGGAGCATAATAGAGAAATTACATATTCGCAAATTCGTACAAATACAGTTTCTGATAGCTCTTAAAAATTTAATTTACAAACACAAAAAATACTGCAGACCACAATCGATGCTAATTTATAGCTCTTTAAAACTCATTTTACAAACACAAAAAATACTGCAAACCACAATCGATGCTAATTTATAGCACTTTAAAATTCATAAATTCAGTTTGTGATAGCATATTAAAATTCATTTGACAAACACAAAAAAAATACTGTAGACCACAATCAATGCTAATTCATTGTATCCCACGATATCAAACCAGTAATTCGATTTTAAAAAAAGCGTTCTGTTTATGTAAATAGGATTTAATACAATTCAATGTAGGTCCTACTAGAGCAAGCTAAGTTCAAAAATGTTGATCTTTAAGAAAATATTTAAATAATATAGGTAATGTTTCTATTGACAACAGAATGGTAACTGGTATTGCTGTTACTAATGTATGCCACAGTATGCCATATCATTGGTTTTGATCGTTTAATAAGTGAGCTATACTCAGAATTAGATAGCTGTGATGGCAAACAGTATTCAAATATTGAAAATTTATAATCTTCATTTATTTTACAACAATCATTTGAAACAAATTAAATATAAATCACTCTCGTTGGCCAGGATGTAAGCGTGAAGATAGTCTGAATTTGAGAAGCAACGGTGTACCCCATACATGTCCGATCGGAGAATCAAACCCCGTCCTTATTGGTAAAGGGTGGGTGCGTTGATCAATGCGCTAACCGACCACACATATGGATTGGAACATTATATAACACTGAAGCCGTGAATACACTGCTAATTGCATCTTGTTGTATAGTGTAAGTACAGTCAAATATCTTTAATCGAAACACCGGTAATCCGGTTGTCCAGCAATCAATCCTGTATTTGAGGAACCGATTTATCAATCCAGTATTTGAGGAACTGAGCTATCAATCCTGTATTTGAGGAACTGAGCTATTCATCTTGTATTTGAGGACCTGAGTTATGAATCCTGTATTTGAGGAACTGAGTTATGAATCCTGTATTTGAGGGACTGAGGTATCGGTCCTGTATTTGAGGAACTGAGCTATCAATCCTGTATTTGATGAACTGAGTTATTAATCCTGTATTTGAGGAGCTGAGCTATCAATCCTGTATTTGAGGAACTGAGCTATCAATCCTGTATTTGAGGAACTGAGTTATATATCCTCTATTTGAGGAACTGAGTCATATATCCTGTATTTGTATTTGAGGAACTGAGCTATCAATCCTGTATTTGAGGAACTGAGCTATCAATCCTGAATTTGAGGAACTGAGCTATCAATCCTGTTTTTGAGGAACTGAGCTATCAATCCTGTATTTCAGGAACTGAGCTATCAATCCTGTATTTGAGGAACTGAGCTATCAATCCTATATTTGAGGAACTGAGTTATCAATCTTGTATTTGAGGAACTGAGCTATCAA